AAAACAACTCTAAACAATGGTCGAACTCAATTGACCAATCACGTTTTTACTAGCGACACATATTCTTTGCAGTCAAAAATTGGTGTAAAACACATATCAACTTAAGTTCAACGTATTTTAATGTTTAAAAACTAATTTGTGCTAATTAAAATACGATTAACATGGAAAAAATTTTAACATGAAATATTTTATTTTTCGAATGTTTAAGAAAAATCTTACAGTATCATCTTACAAGATCTTACAAAGTCTTGTAAGATTCGTATCGTATGCTTTTGTAAGATTCTTAGTGCAAGAATCGTATAAGATTTTCGCTTCTATCTTATACCAGGAATCTTACAAGATTCTTACTTCACGATCTTATAAGATCCTAGACTAAGAATCTTATGAAATCGTATTGTCTGTAAGATCTTGTAAGATATTATAAGATCTTAATCTGATTTTTTGACCTGGGACGCTGACTAGAATTTATTGATAGTCGAAAGAAAACAATTTCATATTCTAAAAAATAAAAATATCTTAAAAACCCAGCAAAGTTTTCAAAACCTAATTCAACAAGTCCATTGTCTGCACTAACGCGAGATAATTATGTTTGATGACAACTCGAAGCTAAAAGTCTTCGTTAGTTCATAAAGCGCACAAAACAAAAGAGACACAAACGAAAACAATGTATTAAACTATAATGAAGAAAAGTCTCTTAAACTGGTGTTAAAATCAGTGGCGGCGGAGTCACTGAGACCCGTGAGGCTCGAGCCTCACTTAGATTCGCTCAGTTGAGGCTCAGCCTCACCTAGAATTCGACTTGACACTCTGTTAAAACATGTGATTTTCAGGCCCTTTTATGCGCTGGTAGCAGTTTCTGTCCTTAGAGAGAACGAACATATGCACTTCTCTTATTAATATTGGTCGTGGTGGCTGTCTCATGCTCGGTTTACAATGACGCAAAGTTGTTTGAATAGCGCGTTTTTGCAGAGACGGGAGTAGGTACAAAGTTTGTTTACAGTTGTTTAAAGTTGTTTTTAGTTATGAAAAAGTTATACCTATAGATGACTAACAGTCATCTATAGTGTAAACAATTAAAGGATATATTCAGTCATTGACTGAGTATATCCTTTAGCAGAGGTGGGCAAGTCCAAATCCGGACTGGGAGACGTTTTCACCCGGACTGTGACTGAAGGCGTAGGAGACCTGGACTGCGTTGGGACTGAAAGCGTAAGAGACTTGGACTGGACTGGGACTGAAGACATAAGAGACGTGGACTTTTTTGGCAGATTTTTTTCACATTTGTGACTGGACTTTTCAGTTTAAATTTGAAAAAAGATGAAAAGAATAAAGAAATTGAATTCACTGTTTTGTCTTTTTCGTGTTACCGCGTAGTCGGTTAAGATTAGCTGTGATCAGACCTTTTGATCGAAGTTACTTACAATCAAAAGGCGGCTCTTTTTTTCCGTCGATTGATTAGTTTCTTTGCACTAAATGCCCGTCTGTCTTTCTGCACTGGACATTCTAATTTTCTCAAAGTTACGTTAAGACATAATGACTTCTAATAAGGATAATTTAACATCAAACAGAAAAGTATTTTGAAAATGTTTTTTGTTGAGCTTAGCGGACTGGGACTGGGAAATTTTAACTCGTCACGGACTGGGACTAGAAAATTTTAACTGTATAGCGGACTGGGACTTATTCGGACTTAGCCTCTAGTGGACTGGGACTGGAAAAGTACCGGACTTGCCCATCTCTGTCCTTTAGTTGTTTACTCCCTTTACTCCTTTTACTACTTTTAGTTATAAAGTGAGAGTGAGGGTAATAGTTCTGATATGTGTGAAACAGAAACAGACTGTTTACAAACAGAACTGCCGCACAGAAACAGAAACAGTCGTTTACAAATGCGGCAACCACATCGGACAAGTAGAAACGCACTGTAAGACTTGGTCCAATATATGTTGAAAATAAGTGGCGACATATACGTTATTTAGTAATTGAGGAAATTTCTATGGTTCTTCTATATTTACTAGCGCATGTGCACGAAATTTTAACAATAGCAAAACGTACTGTACTAATCTTGCGGCCCCCTTCGGACTGATCAATGTGATCTTTTTTGGAGATTTTAATACTCTCCTCTTAAAGATCTATCATCACAAATGACTATTTCGTACATTTGCCAACAGTAGATAAGCGAAAAATATTTATCATCGATTCAAATTCATCATCGAGTGCAAAACTGTCATAGTCTTTTTATCCGAGAGGACGTGACCAAGTACGTCGTCGACGTCATGAAGCCGGTACTTGCCCTTTTTTCAGAAGTAAATTCACTTATAAGTACTTGTCCTTACTTGCCAAGTACTTCTTAGCAATAAGGCAAGTCTTTCGATCACTGACAAGTACCTGGCAAGTAATTAAGTACTTGCATCAAGTACGTTCTAGGGTATTTATGGAGGAAATTCAGGACATAAAGGAACTAATACTTTTTTTTCGAATATTTTACAATTAGCACATCACATAGATGTTCAATGCAAAGATTATCTTGATAAAACAGCCTTACATTATGGTGTATGTAAAGGTAAACGTTGTTGGATTGTCATAATTTGTTATTAAAAATGATTTCTTCTCTACTCAATTCTTGTGATATCGGTGGTTTAATTCCATTAGTTTACGCTTGCGTTAGTTCATTTAGTATATTGAAAGTATTGATAGAAAATTATAATGCTAGTATCCATATTACCGACAATATGGGATAAACAATATTAATTATTTCATCTGGTTCATTAGTTAGATGAAAAATCTTTGCTCCAGTTATACAAACGAATGAATAATATTTCTGTTGAAATAAATCGTTCAGATAAAAATGATGTATCACCATTGCATGCAACTGCCGCTTGCAAAGCTCTAACAATTGCTAAAATTCGTGTTGACTATGATGTGAATGTAAACGTAGTTGATAATTATAATTTAACTCCTTTACACTATGCCTGTCATCGTGCAACATTTGATATTGTTAATACTTTACTTCAAGCCGGTTCAGATTCTTTTAAAAAGGATATGAACGGAATGACACCAATTGAATGCGAAATATTTAGAAATTATTTCTATACTGCATAATTTTCCAACAATTAATCTAGATTCATAGCTGATAATTTATATTTTATTAGTGTACCAGTTGATGAAATATATGATATTGTTAAACCGACTCATTACTCCCTTTCTGACGATTTTTTACAATCATTTCTAGATTGTCGTGGTGCTCTAGATGTCGTGATATTTGCTCATATCTATCACAAAATACAATTATTGGTGATGTAGATGGCAGATTTAAAGGAAAACTAGTTAAATCTGGCAGCTTTTATGAACAGACAAAAATTGGTGATCCAGATCAGGCATGGGCGAGTCCGAGCCAAGTCCGAGTCCTTAAACAGTCAAGCCGAGTCCGAGTCCCGAGTCCATTTCCGGTAATTTTTTATATTCTGTTTTTGATGAGTGTGGTTTATTTCTCTTTTATAATTTACTGAGCCCTGAATAGATATTTGATTTGTCGAAAATAAGATTACTTTGCATGTCTGTTTCCTGAACAAAATTTTCAATTTCTTGTGAAACAGAAGGTGTTATTATTTCGCTTTTCATTTTTCTCTGCTCATTTGTGTTGAAAGTTGAATAGATCGGACTCGAAATACAAAAACTCAAGTCCGA